ATCTGTATGTACTTATGTATAAAATTATTTAAAAAATATGTTGCGAATATGCATTGTAATTTTTGTCTATTTGAACTATAAATGTGTATTTTAAATATATATATATATATATATATAGATATGATATTTTTGTACTAAATTAGAGCATAGTAAAATAGATACTCACTTTAATATTAAAAATAATGATTAAATTAGAGAAGAAAAAAAAACTTTAATGTAAAATTAAAAGTAATTCTAATTATTTATTTCAATAATCTTAGAACCATCGTTATATAAAACTGTTACTTAAATATATATATATATATATATAATAAGTTTAGTTAATTATTTATGTGTATTTTGATCATTTTAGTCATACCATATTACATAATAATTTTATATGATGTTATATTATGGCAAAATAAACATTCGTTTTGATATTATAAATAATAGTTAAATTGAAAGGAGAATTAGTGACATAAAATAAAAATGATTCTATTTTTTTAAATATATATTCATGAGAGAAAAAAAAAATGCAGAGTTGAAAGTTATACAAAATTTATTTAGAAAATATGCTGTTTTGGATTAAGCAAAAGGGCAGCGCTTCTCTCTAAGGTGTTGTTGGGTTTGCGGGGCTCACCACAAGTTCTATTTTGACAATTTAAACCATTTTATATATAGAACTCGTTAAGTATTTTATTCTTGTAGATAATCACGCTAATTGGACATCGATAACCTTTCGATCATATCACATTTGTGTCAAATGGTAACCATGATTTAAAAAAAAAAAAATTATTAACACAAATATGAGTTGATTAAGTGGCCATCAATATATGACTAACGTGATTTTTTATGAGATGAAATATTCGATGAGTTTTATACATTGAATAATTGGAATCATCAATGTAAATTCTGTGGTGAGCTCACATAGGCCCAATAATACCCTCTAATTGGGAGAAGTCTTTCCCTTTATTTATTTATGGTAACCTCTCTGTTTGTGACATGATTTATGTTTATGAATACGAATATGAGTTGGTAATTACTTGTTTAGTCCAATTTAAGACACGTTAGACAACAAAAATTGTGTTTATGCCTAGTAAATAAATTATTTTATTATTGATTTCAGTTAAGTTTGTTGGAATTAAATTATCCATTGAACTAAATTAATATAATATAAAAAATTTTAAAATAAAATTAATGTAATTAAAAATATAGTAATCAAATTTATATAAAATAAAAAAAAATATAAGGACAATAAGTCTCAATTGTCCTAATTCTTCTAGGATATTAAAAATAAATTTAATTCTTTTAAGTGCAAATTATATTAAACCCCCCCTCAAACTATCGGCCATTTATACTTTATCCCCTAATATTTTAAACCCAATAATTACCCCCTCAAACTATTTAAATTTGAACATTAAATCCTTTTGTTATTCATTTGTTAAATATTTGGATGAAAAATTTTCAAGTGTTGTGCACATGATGGTTATATTAAATTTTATGACCAAATTATCCTATTTTATTTTTTAAAAAAAAATTAATATAATCATCATGTGCACAATACGTAACAATTTTTTATCCAAATATCTAACAAATTACTAATAAAATGATTAAATATTCAAATTCAAATAGTTTGAGGAGGTAACTATTAGATTTAAAACATTAAAAGGGTAATATATATATAACCAATAGTTTGAAGGGATTTAATATAAAATATATATAACCTGTAAGAGGGGCTAATTTGAGCCAGCCTTGCCATTATTCTATTCTCTAGCCATTTTGCCTTCTTCTTCACCCAATCTCTTATCTCCATCATCTCCTTTGTTGTCGTGTTCCTAAGTTGAGATTATTGAAGAATCTAAGCCTCTCATCATATTCTAGAGAATTCAAAATTGTTCTTCAAGAATCTTCGAAGATCTTCGAATTTTCCAACTCTTTTCTCGAACCCTCTCCTACATAACCAAAATGGGCTTTTGTAGCTGCCGCTGCTGGACCTTTTTAGGTCCCTTTTGAGCTGGGTTGACTCTCAAAATAAATAAATAAGTGAATAAATAGTAATGAAAGCAAAATAATAAAAATAAATAAATAATAAATGAGTTTTTATTAACGAGTGCCTAGGGTACTTGTTAAAGATGCATTAACTCACCTTAATTAACTCCACTATCATGGGTACTTGTTAAAGATGCATTAACTCACCTTAATTAACTCCACTATCATGGAAAATTGAATAGGTTATCAATGTTGTATTATTTTTAAAGACTAAATTATCCTTTTCTGTAATTGCCTCTATTTTTATATGCTTTTCATAATGGAATTTTTTAATATTTTTTTAATTATAAAATTGAATTTTATTTTTTGTAAATAATATTTCTTTAAAAAAAAATTAATTTCAATCATATTTAAATTATATGGTGTAGGAAAAATAAACTAAAAATATTAAAAATATTAAAAAATTCCATAATATTAATCAACAAATGAATTTTATTTTTAAATGACATTTTGTGGACTTTTTTTCAAAATTTGTAAATGCTCTTTATTTTCAATTATAATTAAACTATATGGTGTAAGGAAAATGTCATTAAAAATTTAAAAAGAAAGGGTATTTAATTTTATTTTATTTTTAAACCACAAAATGTTTCATTTAAAATTAAAGAGCATTCACTTTTATAAAAATAAAAAAAAATGTTGGAAAACATTCTATTATGAAAAGTATATCAAAATATAAAAATAGAGACAATTAACGAAAATGATAATTTGATCTCTAACAATACAATATTTATAACCTATTCAGTTTTTATGGTAGTGGGGTTGGTTAAGATGAGTTAATGTATTCTTAACAAGTATCCTAAGGGCACTTATTAACAAAACCCCTGATGAATTTACCAACTCAGGCTCGCATGCCTCATATTTAGGGGATTATAGTTGCACAAAAAAAAAATTATTAAGTATTTTTAATTTTTCAATACATTCTATTCAATTATTTTGGATTTATGTTATTCTCAATATACTTTATAATTTTTCTAAATTACCTTTCAATGTACACCTAAATAAGAACAAAGTCACCATATTCGAACTTATAATGCCAAATAATATTGTTTGGTTCTAATTTTCAAATTCAAACATGTTGACTTTGTTTAGATCTGAAAATCCGAATAGTAATGATGTTAAGTAAGTTAAATATTTGTTTTTACTAAATAAAAATAAAAATAAAAAACATAAAAATTAAAAATTGTACGTTGATATTTATGTGAATACTTACCTCCTCTTTGATGGATTGTTTTAAAAAACAGTTTTCATTATTATTCTCATACATTGTTTAAGTTTGTTCAAACTTTCTTCTATTCACAAGGATAAAAAACAATAATGTTATGATAATGGTGAGTTTTAGTGGGGTAGTTTGAAGTTTTAGAGTGAAAAATAAGAAGAAGAGAAAATAATTAAAATTTGAAGAGGAATATGAAAAATACGTATATGTTTTAGCATATACCATGAAAAAAATATTTTATTTTAAAATTTAATATGTACTGTTCTTATTTGAAATTTTATATTAAAGTACAATAAGAATTAAAATTTCAAAATTTTTATTAGGCGGCCTCGTTTGGAAACATATTATTTTAATAATTTTTTGATTTTTTATGAAAATATATGCAGAAAAGTATGAAAAATAATGTAACAACTTACAATAATTTTTTAACTTTTTGGCTCAAATATTTAATTCTCAAAATGAGGCCTTGATAATGTTTTTGGGTGTTTGGGAAGTCAATTTTTTTATACTAAAATTCATAAAATGACAAAATAGACTTAAATAATTAATAAGACAAAATGTTACATCAAACTCATAATCATGTTATTTTTTCTCTCATAAATATCACATCCAATTACAGAAAAAATAACTCTCTTTTTAAATACAAATATTTTAACTTATTAAAATAGTCAAAAATTAAAATATCTTATTAAAGTAACGACCTTCCCAAATATTTTGCCTCATTTTTCATTGGGAAAATTACCCATAGGTCCCATGTAGAACATGTGGACACCATTTAATCCCATAACTTTTTGAGTACACCTAAAAGTCCTTTCCCCTCTCTCTCTGCTTTTTGCTTCCCTCTTTACGCCTCCTCCTCTAACCCTAATCTCAGTCTTAAAGTCAAACAAGAAGGCGATGAATAACAAGAACAAGAAGACGCTCATCTTCAGATCTGTGCTTAGATTGAACAGATTTGTGTATATATCTTTGTCAATTTCTCTCTCTTTCTCTCTCTATTTACAGATTTTTTTTTGGGATAGTTGTTGATCAATGGTTGTTGTTGTTGATGATGAAATAAATCTATAATATCATTGAAACAGATCTGTAATGACTCAGATTTGTACAGATATCACACAGATTTGTAATGAGAAAATTTTCGAATTCTGAACAAATAATTTTCGAGTTTTAGTTACAGGCGGTGAAAACTATAAAATTTTACAGTTTCAATTTTTTTTTTGGTGTTGGAATGAATCATAGTTTAAAACTGTAAAATTTTGCGGTTTTATAACATTTTTTAGAACTGTAAAATTTTACAGTTTCATAACATATTTTAAACATTCCGACGAGTCTCCGGCGATGTTAAACATTCCGACGAGTCTCCGGCAACCGTTTGACGGAAGTCCGACGATAGTAAGATGTGAACAGTGTCTGTAAATTAAATTTTTTTTTTTTTTAAAAAAAAAAAATTAAAAATATATTAAACTAATTGGTACAAATATTTTGTTTTGAAATTAATTGAGTTTTGAAGTTAGTACATGCGACTTACGAATAAGTTCCCCTTTTTCATTTATATTAAATGGGCCTGTCCAAATGGGCTGGATCATTAGATGAGATTCGGCCACGTTGATTATTCTTCACCAACACATTCATAAACAAAAAAAACAACCGGTCCAACGGTTGAACCGTGGACCTCTAAAGTTGAACCAGTCAAAATGCGAATAACTAATTTGACCAACTTCGAAACGGCTGTGGCGGCAACGACAATCAGACAATGTTTAAAATAGAAAATTTTATAATCACAAACTAAACCAACTTTTCAATCATTTTCTCATCAACCAAACACTATTTATTTTTTTAATAATCTTACTCAGTCAAAGATACCAAACTGAAAACAATCTCTTCAATCGTTTATGTCCACTTCCCAACACCAAAACCCCAATTCAGATGATTGATTTCTAGGATTTTTCGTTAACATGTTTCGATCCGAATTGGGTTTAGGGTTTTTGGTGATTTCATTTTGCTTATCGTTCTGTCTTACAGTCGAATCGAAGTGTTCCAAAGGCTGTGACCTAGCTTTAGGTTCGTACTACGTCTGGAACGGATCGAACCTCACGTTCATCGCCAACGTGACGAACGGTTCGATCAACGATATTATGAGCTACAATCAAATCGCCAACGCAGATAGTGTTCTATCGGGTACGAGAATCAACGTTCCCTTTAGCTGCGAGTGCATCAATGGTGAGTTCTTGGGTCATGTGTTTCAGTACTCGGTTATCTCCGGCGATACGTACCAGAAAGTGGCGAATACGTACTACGCGAACTTGACTACGGAGACGTGGTTGCAGAAATTCAATGTTTATGATCCGAGTCGAATTCCGGACACTGCGCAGCTCAATGTAACAGTGAATTGTTCGTGTGGGAATAGTTCGGTGTCGAAGGCTTATGGGTTGTTCATCACGTACCCGCTTCGGCTGGGACAGAGTTTGCAGTCGATTGCGACGGAGACGAATTTGACTGCAGATCTAATAAGGAGTTACAATCCGAATGCGAATTTCAGCTCGGGGAGTGATCTGGTGTACATTCCGGGGAAAGGTGAGTTTTTTATTTGATTAGAGTGCAGTTATGTGTGGATTGAAGAATTTGGGTGGGAACATTTTGGTTGATTATTTATGTATATTGAGGAAAAATGGTGGATCGAGAATTGTAATGTTAGCCTCTAAGAATTTAGCATAAATGTAACTAATATAAGCAATTTTATCCATTGGATGCGTAGTTGATCGTCCCATTTAGTCAATGATGAACCTAGGCTAGGTGGTGGTTGGGGTGACTGCCCCCAAAGTATCAGCTAACAATATTTTCAAATTATTTAGGTTCATCTCCTCAGATTTTTTTTTTTGGAAATTTTAATACCCTATTTTTATTTTTATTTTTATTTTTCTTTTAAATAAAGTGGTTTTGTAGGCTTAATGTACAAAATTTTTTGTTGCATATACATTTTCCCCCAAGATTATAATTCAATGTCTATCCCTCTATTTAGTAATTTCAGGTAATAATGCATCTAAAACCTAAATTTATTAGCAACATTGTTGTTATTGTCTAAGCCACTTGGCATGAACTAGTTTGGTCATGAAACTGAAGAATGGAAGGATAGGCCTCTGGCAGTTGGGTTGCATTGCATATTAAGAATATAGCGTATGCCATGAACTCATTCTACCTTTTTTTTAAAAAAAAAAAATGCATAGCATTACAAGCATCTCCATTTTATTTTCCCTAAAGTATTTCTATATATCATGTTTTCCCTCAGAAGGAATACAAAAACAAGGTCATTATAGGATTCCAAGATATTAACACTGCTACATAAGTGATAAGTAAATATAACAATAATCAACTAACATTTGCCGATCAAAAAAAAAAAAAAAACACTGCCACATAAGTGTTGTTAACATTAGCTTATAAATATTATTGTTTTATTCTCTAATAATATTTTTTGTGATTTTAGTTGTCACTCATTTCAGCATGACAAACTTGAGTCCGATGTTATGGAGAACATTGAATTATTCAATTTCTTGTTTTGTTCAAATACACCACAAGATGTCAAGAACAAATGTATCATTATTTATTTATTTATAAAGCTTCAAGATTCTAGTTATCTTACCATAGATGTCCCAATTCTTTGCAGATAAAAATGGAAAATATCCGTCCCTGAACTCCAGGTAACTTTTGTAACTTTGATGTTTAGATATACTAGATTCATGTTACTTCTTGCCATTTTTGCCACCTTTTATAAATTTTTAACATCTAATACCAATTTATTATTTTTCCCTTTGCAGCACAGGTGTCTGGCTTTCTTTGCTATTGGTTCAAAGTTGACTTTTAATTTCCTGGCTCAGATGAAAATGTGAGATGATAAATATGGGTCTTTACTGATATTTAAAAATGTTTTGCTATTTATATAAGCAGGATTATCAAGTGGGGTCATAGCCGGGATATCCATAGCAGGAGTTGCAGGGGTGCTGTTATTGGCAGTTTGCATATATGTTGGAGTTTACAAGAGGAAGAAAGTGCAGGACAAAATATTGCTTTTTGCAAGATCTGAAGATCAATCAATTCAAGCTGCAAGGGGTAGTACTTCTCGCTGTTTCCTTTCTTTTTCCCTTTTTTGTCTATTTCTTTAACATCTATGTTTGAAAGGGTTCTTCATGGATATTCTGCTCTACAAATTCCCATTTTAACTCATTTTACCTCTTGGTTGAAGAATGAAATCCAATTTTGACAAACTGGGAAACCATATGCACATGGTTGTTACAATGCTAAACATCCTATGGTTACTTATTTAGCTTTCTTTTAACACAATAGAGGTTCCTTTCATTTAAAAAAATAATAATAAGAATCGTGATGATATTTGATTAGGCGGAATATGGTTACCATGATTTTTAAGCGGATTCCTCAAATTATTAAACAATTTGGCAGTCAATACTTCTGTTTGATGCTGTTATTTTCTCTGATATACTGTACCAATTTTTTCTTGGTTTACCTATTTAACTTGTTACTCTAGAGTCTTAGACATTATTAGGGGTCACAGAAGTATTTTAATCAATAAAACAGTTCCACTGTTATTTCCTACATTAAATTTTCTTACATTCTTACATGTTTGAAGCACATTCCTCATGATTTTTTTATATTTTCTTCATCTGACTCTGATATTTTTTCCCCTTGTGAGTTTAGCTGCTGGAAGTACTTTGGAGAAAGCTACAGACTCCACTGGCATTCCTGGTAGTGCTTCTTCAGGCCTTACTGGCATAACTGTGGACAAATCTGTAGAGTTCTCTTATGAAGAGCTTGCAAAGGCAACTAATGACTTCAGTATTGCTAATAAGATTGGCCAAGGTGGCTTTGGGTCTGTTTACTATGCTGAGCTGCGAGGCGAGGTTTGTAGCTGTTAATCTCATCACAAGTCTGGCTTTGGGTCTAGTTTTTGCTAATGCAAGTTTTATATAGCGCTCTTCAACAATTGTGTTGATTTTTGATGCCTAATATCTGGATTCTCTTTCTTAACTCTTGTGCAGAAAGCTGCAATCAAGAAGATGGATATGCAAGCTTCAAGAGAATTCCTTGCTGAATTGAAGGTTTTAACACATGTTCATCACCTAAACTTGGTAATATTCTAACTTTCCCATTGAACATGTGTGTCTGTGTAAGTGGTGTTATCTTTTCTCTATGTAGGCATGTATTAGAAGAATTTTATCTGGCTTGTTGTCTTATTGTTTTAACAAAGTCATGCATTGTCATTGAAATAATAATTGGAGAAAGTGAGAGAAGATAGAGATGAGCGAATAGAGAGAGAGAGAGAGAGAGAGGCACAATTGTTTCTATGAATTGTACATGTCTATTACACAAAGAAGGCACTCTATTTATAGAGGATGCCTTGGATGCCTATGAACAATAACATAATGCTACACTAACATAATGCACTAACATAATGCTACACTAACATAATGCACTAACATAATGCTACACTAACATGATAATGCTACACTAACATAATGCACTAACATAATGCTACACTAACATGATAATGCACTACATAATGATACACTAATATACACTAACAGTCATTTCATGAAATTCAAACTTTCCTTTTGAAGTGTTGTTGTTACACTGAAGCTAACACCCTCATTAATGCAGGTGCGCTTGATAGGGTATTGTGTTGAGGGTTCTCTTTTCCTAGTTTATGAATATATTGAGAATGGCAATATAAGTGAACATTTACGTGGAACAGGTGAGATAAAATGTGCATGTCAAGACTTTTTATAGTGGTAGTGCTCTAAAACAGTACTAATGGTTATGCTTATTTGTTTCCAGCGAGGGACCCCCTGCCGTGGCCTGCCAGGGTGCAAATTGCACTTGATTCAGCGAGAGGACTTGAATATATACATGAGCATACTGTTCCTGTCTACATCCATCGTGATATCAAATCAGCAAACATACTGATAGACAAAAACTTTCGTGGGAAGGTTGGGTTGATGCTCATATCTTTGCAGTTGTATTGTCATCATGGACAATGTGAAAGTTAGGTCCATCTTTATTCTAATAAATATTTCTTTTGCAGGTTGCAGATTTTGGTTTAACAAAGCTGACTGAGGTTGGGAGTACGTCACTGCCCACTCGTCTAGTGGGTACATTTGGATACATGCCACCTGAGTAAGATTAACTTTTAGGTTTCCTCGAGTATAAAGGAAAATCAATATCAACAATTAATCATGGGATTGGGGATGTTTTGTGGGATGTGCACTGCTAAAACACCAAGTAAATTTTGACAATGAACCAATGTGATTTTTTCCCCCACTCTACCCTATAGATAAATTTATGGTCAACCTTTCCTTAAGAGAGCCTGGATAATTTTTTTTTTTTTTTTTTGTGTCGTTGGATAGTAAACAGTAATGTCAAAACCTTAACGGCATATCTGGAAATGATTGTCTGAACCTCCTACTCAAACATAACAAAGAAACCATAAGATACTCAGAATGTTAGCATTGAGAATGCTCTCATGAATCATGAATGTGTAGTTTAGAATATTTTGGCTGGAAATTATGGTTGAGATAGACAAAGGGCCTCTGTTGTACTGTTGTACCAAATATAGGTTAGTTATGGCTTTCGAATGAGTGTAGGTGTGGAGTAGGAAAGACTGACGTATGTGAATCACAGCAAGTCCACAAATCAGGAAAGTGTTCGTCAGAGTGAAAAATAATTTGCTAGAATAAAATTAGGAACTGACCTATCTCGGCCTTGAAGAAAAGAAGACTTGAGCCACCAAAGCACAAGAATCCCAAAAGATGCCTTTTCCCTAACCCGAGTTTCCTTTTCACCGTTCTATATATGAATTCTAAAGAACATGTATCAACTTTCTACCATGCTTGTTTGCAGATATGCTCAATATGGTGATGTTTCTCCCAAAGTCGACGTCTATGCTTTTGGGGTTGTCCTCTATGAACTTATTTCGGCCAAGGAAGCCATAGTCAAAGCAAGTGCTTCTTTGGCCGAGTCAAAGGGCCTTGTTGCTTTGGTAAATTTCCTTGCTTGCTTCTGTTTTTCCAATTCTTTAAAAGGGATGATGACATATCAGACATCTGACCATTTGATACCACTTGTAATAGGCTCCAATATATATACTCATAAGCTAATTGTCATTGTGCTTCTGATGCTTTATAGTTTGACGAAGTTCTTAGTCAGCCTGATCCAAAAGAAGACCTTCGCAAGCTGGTTGACCCTAGGCTTGGAGATAGCTACCCCCTTGATTCAGTTCACAAGGTAATTTTCTTTTCTTTTTTCTTTCCCCTCTGGAAAAACCATACCAAGTTCTTGTTGTAGTGATTGCCAATTTGTTTGCAGATGGCTCAGCTTGCTAAAGCTTGCACGCAAGAGAATCCTCAACTACGGCCTAGCATGAGATCGATTGTGGTGGCACTGATGACTCTTTCATCAACAACAGAAGATTGGGATGTTGGCTCGTTCTATGAAAACCAAGCTCTAGTCAATCTCATGTCTGGGAGGTAGTGGTGCTGAGAAAGGGCATGACATATATTGGACCCTTATGTCTCGTGAGGTTGTGAATGTGAATAACACCTAAATGAAGCTGTTGAAGATTTCAGAGATACACATATCATATGTAAATGTGTTGATTTTTTATGTGTATATATTCATTGTTTCATGAGAGTACATTCAAGGAAAAAAGAGAGTGAACCTTGATTTGTCATTTTAGCTATGGAAGAATTGCAAATCTGAACAGATCATTACCGTGTCTTTCATGTTTTCTATTTGGAGTAAACAAACAATTTGCAATAACCAAAATAAAAATTGAAACACAGAATTTGGGGTAGTTGAACAGAGCAACCTAGCATTTTTATGCATATTCTCCGTTCTTCGTAAGAAATGCATAAACATGTTTAAGAGAAGCAAAATGAAACTTTTTTTGGCGCAAAAAGAAGGGCGTCTCCCATGAAACTATTGAAGTTGATTTAGGGTTGTGGCACTAGAAAGGTCTGCATACAAATTAGTTTGCAGCATTTTTCTTGAGGGAGACTAATGCAGAAGATGATAATATGAGAGGATAGCAAAATTCTTACTAAAAAATAAATTGAAGGGTTTGAATTTATTCAGATCTTATTCTCTCCTGTTTTTTTCTTTTTCTTTTTCTTTTTTTTTTTGAGGAAAAGGATCTTATTCTCTTCTCACGCTTAAACTCTCAATTTACAAGCACTCTTCTTAAACGAGGGTCAGGATCTTCCTTCTTATAGACAATAAACTAGAGCAATGTTAGGGGTTTAAAAAAAATTATTAAAAATTTTACACAATATTTATATAGGTATTCTGTAGGGGAAGGAAAAAAAAAATGGATATTTTTAGAGGTCTCTGACATTCTAACATTTTTACGTATGACAATCAAATTTGTCGTCTAGAACAAAGATCATAATTTGAAAAAGAATTTTTTTTTTTTTTATAAGGTTCTGCGATATTATATGAAATTGTCTAAAACAAAAATAAAAATTAATCAAATTTAAAAAGTTTAAAGAAAAAAACACCAAAAGAAAATCATTTTACTTTTTGGGGGAAAAAAAATCAGAAATAATTAAAAACGAAAGAAAAAATAAAAATAGATATATTATTGTGAACAAAAAAATTTATGTAAAAAATGAAGAAAAAGAAAATGGAAAGACCAGCCTCCCTTTTAGAATATTTTGGCTGGAAATTATGGTACTCCGTAACAGCCACTGCTTCACAAAGAGGAGAGAGAGAGAGACTCCGGTTAAATGCCACCGTCGACGTCATGGATGCGGTCACTCTTGTCTCCGGCGAAGGGTTGGTTTGGCGCTCAACCCATTAAGGCCCTCTCCAGACGCCTCCGCGATTACGGTTAGGGTTTCGCATTCTCTCTCTCTCTCTCTCTCTCTCCCCCCCAAATACACTCACACTCACACGCACTGCACTGTTTGTTCTAATTTATGTGTAATGTGTAGATCTGTTTTTAATTTTGCTTTAGTTCTGATTAGAAACACACTGATTCACTTGGCAAATGTGTTTACTTGAACATAATTATGAAAATGTATCACCCAATCACTGAGAATAATAATATCTTGTAGAATTCAGGGTTGTTTCCAAGAGTTGTAGTCTCAACAATACGCTTCAAGATTGTCATAATTCATTCACTTTCTTATTTAATCCAAGTATTTCATGTTATCTAGTTCATGAAAATTGCTGATGAATCCTCGATGCAAGGGCAGGTTGTGAGATTATCTATTTCACCATTTTTCTGTATTCATCATGATCAAGATGGGCTTAATTATCTTCCTAGGGTTTTAGTGTGATTTCACGAAGGCAGAAGAACTCATCGTCTGATCATTTTGATCTCAAGACAATACGGATGTCATTGAGAAACAAAACTCAAGTAGTTTGCTATCCCCTGCCCCTTCCACTTGCATAAATTGGCTACCTTTGCTATCCCCGCCTCAAATTAGCCAGACCAACTACCAAAAAGAGCCCAATACATCAATTACCATCAGATCCAAGCTCGTCGCAATTTACTTGTTCACAATTACAACTGTTTGAATCATCATCAGAAAGGAGATCTAAATAATTTTGATGATGATTCAAACAGTTGTAATTGTGAGCAAGTAAATTGCGACGAGCTTGGATCTGATGGTAATTGATGTATTGGGCTCTTTTGGTAGTTGGTCTGGCTAATTTGAGGCGGTGAATATGATGGGTAAGTTGTTTGATTTGGGTTCTGAAATGGGTAATTCGGGATTTATGATAAGAAATAAATGGTGTAACAGGAGCAGTCATCTCTCACCCCCTGTAAAAATTCCCAGGTAAGAAAATCAGGAAAGGAATTTTGACAACCAGGTATATTGGTAATATCAAAATAAAAAATACTTAAAATAGATTGCCAACGGGCAAAAATTTGTTTACTAGCAAGATTTTGAACATCTTTTTCTAAAACAAATTTAGCAGATTTGCAATCAATACGAAGTAAAAAATTTTGATTTAAAATATCATCTTGAAATTTTTGAATACATAAGACAGTAGACAATATTTCTTTGTTAATGGTACTATAATTTAATTGTTCTTTATTCCAGACACCAGAATGATAACGAACAATTTGTTCAGAGGATTGAGGAGTGACTTTCTGAAGAAGAATGCCACCATAACCAATATCGGAAGCATCAGTTTGAATAATTTTGAAAGAATTTTCAGTAGGAATACCAAGACAAGGAAGAGATTTAACATATTGTTTGACTTGTTGAACAATAGATGTATGAACAGACGATCAAGGAGGAGGATTGTCTTTCAACCTATCAAATAGTGGTTGACATGTCTTCCTAAGGTCTTTGTGAGTGATCCTAAAAACATTTGTAATTGAGTTTTATCAAGAATTTCATCAGGAAACTTGGATGTAAATTCAAGATCGACTAATTGGGAGAATAGTGTTGTGGTGAATATCATAACCTAAAAATCTAACTTTAGTTTGAAACAATTTAATTTTGAGAGCAGATATGACTAAACCATGACTTTTAATAGTATAAAAGAAAGCAGTTAAATGTTTCCAATGATCATGAATTGATTTTGAAAAAATTAGGATGTCATCAATGTAAACAATAAAAAAATGACTAAATGGGTTAAATATGTCATTCATGATATTTTGAAATTCACTAGGAGCATTCTTTAATCCAAAGGGCATGACATTCCATTCATGTTGGCCAAAAAGAGTATTAAAAGCAGTTTTATATCTATCTTTAGGATGAATTTGAATTTTCCAAAAATCACTTTTTAAATCAAATTTACTAAAAATAACAGCTTGACTAAGTCTTTTAATCATATCTTTTTTTATTAGGAATAGGATATCGAATCCATTCTAAAACACCATTTAATGGTTTGTAATTAATGACTAAGCGAGGGACACCTCGTTCTAATTCAGCATTTTTATTAACATAAAAAGCAGGACAAGACCATGGAGATTTACTAGGACTAATTATCCGATTTTTTAATAATTCATTAATTTCTTTTTTACACATTTCAAGTAAATCATGATTCATTTGAATAGGTCTAGATTTAGTAGGTATTTGTCGTTCATTAAAATTCTTAATATATGGTAAAGTAACTATATGCTTTTTTCTATGCCAAAATGCAGTGGGTAAAGTGGAACAAGCAGTGGATTCTAATTTTAATTTAAAATCATTAATTTGAGAAATAAGAACTAGATCAGTTAATTGTTGGTCAATACGTTTGTAATTAATTTATTCTTTAAGAAATTTTAAATGTCAAGTTAATCTGTTAATAGTATGAGAAATAGAACAATCTTTTAATTGATTTAATTCTAGCATTTCAGGTGGAGATAAGAATTTAAATGTAACAGGGTGGTCTAAAACATGAGTAGTTATTCCTTCACTAGATGTAGTATATAGATATAGTAAATAGATAAATGGTGTACTTAAAATAATTTTATCAGTCATATTTTTAACCAAAACAAATGAAATTTTAAAACATACATTATCTTGACAAACATGAACTTTAGGTAATTTATATTTAATATACGTTTGACTACCATTAGCAGAGGTTAATTTCTCATGACATTTCTCATAATATTTAGTAGGAAGTAATCCTTCTTGTATGCAATTTAAATCAGCACCAGTATCGATTAATGCAATTAATTCTAATTCAAAATCTTAAACAACGATTTTAATTTTTGAATACCATTTTTGAATATCAATCTTATTGATTAGATTTAATCGTTTGTCTTCAAGATTATTAGATTGATGAGATCGATTATCAAATAAGAGTTTATCTGGATTAGTATGATCAGAATCATGTTCAGAATTATTGTCAGATTCATGAGGTGATGTATTTGGATTAGGTTGGAAATTGTCTAAACGTTGATTAAGTTTTAGACTAATGATTTCATCTTCTAAATTTTTATCTTTTTGCTGTAAGTTTCTGATAGTTTGTTTAATTTGGTTGATTTCAGATTGTAAATCTTGAAGTGTAATGTCTTTACTTTTATTTTTAAATTTTTCTAAAGTCTTAGATAAACTAATAATAGGTTTATCAAACTTAGGTTTTTTATGTGAATGAAGTAATAAAGATTTTAATTTATCAATGTATTTTTGTTTTAAATTGGAATCATCTAACTTGCTAATTAATTCAATTAGAGCAGATTCTTCTTGATTTTGTTTTGTAAGAACAGTAATTTACTTAACGGGTTTATAACAGACGTCATTACATCCTAATGTTATATTATTATTATCAGAATCAGTACTGGATGAATTATCATCAGAGGAAGTTTCTGGATTATCAGAAAAGGAATTACTAATAGATTGATTTAATTGAAAGATTTCAAATATTTGAATCTTAGATTCATCATTTATTTGTAATTGATTAACCTTATCTTTTAATTTTTGTTTTTCTTTACATTTATTGGAGTAATGACCTTTTTGACCACAGTTATAACAAGTAATATCTTTAGTAGATTTAGATTTTGGATGTGATTTTTTGTAATATTTCTTTTTGGGTTTAGTATAAAATTTATCATTGAATTTGGAAGGTGAATAATTCTTTTTGTATTTATTAGAATATTTGGATTTATATTTATGTGTAGAATATTTATGTAATTTCCTACGAGAGGGTGCTACAGGAGGTAAACCATATTGTTCACAAAAATTTCCTAATTCATATTTAGCTTTATGTTTATCTTTAGTGGCTTTTTGATTAAGTTTAAGATCAATACACATTTTAATCCTTCTTTTTGAATAGTGCTAATTATATCGCCATAGGTTAAATTATCATATTCAATAACACCAGTAGGTTGACTAAGAACATCTCTAATTTTGTCAGCAAACAGGCTAGGTAATCCATTAATAATTTTTTCTTTCTAAAATGATTTAGCATAGTTTTCTCTTAACATAACTCTAGAGGTAAATACATCTTTGTATCATCTAAAATCACTCAAGGTTGGACATGTAAGATTACTAAGTTGATCATGTATACGAGAATAGATATTAGTAGGAGTACCAATAAAATGTCTAATAATAGTATAAATTAATACCATAAGGGTGGCGACAACCAATATTTTCATCAAAGATAGGTAGACCATTTTCATCAGTTTGATTAGCATGAATTATGGATTCCCTTTCATCATTAGTAAGATATTTTTCCCACTAAGATTGGAGCATACCAGTAAAACCAGAGGTAATTAAGGAAACAATTTCAGGTTGAGAATATTGGGGATAATTAGAGAGATAACTATTAGAAACCATAGATAAATGATTTAATTTTTGGAAAATTTGATCTTCACTAAGGCCATCAATATTCCATTCGTATAATCGTTTAGCGGAGACAGAAAATTGGTTACTAATATTATTTTCTTCATATTGGAGATCAGGTGGTGTAGGTTTAGAATACCAATTTTTTGTAGTTTAAGGATTAACTTTGGGATAATTAATTTTATTAAGATTAGCAGATTAGAATTGTTGAGCTAATTGATTTAGTTCATTATCAGTGGATTCAGTTTTAGATTGGGTAGAAACAATTTCAGTATTAGGTTGTTGATTTAAAACAGTAAGACCTTTGTCTTTAGAGGGTGAAGCATTATCAGAAGTAGATAGTTTAGTAAATAATTGTTCAATAGCTTTGACAGTGGATTGATCATTAGTAACTAAGCTGGTTCGTTTGGAACGATGACTAGGAAGATTAAGTAAAGGTTGATCTAGGGATTTATTAGATTTATTCGAATGTTCATCTAAATTGGTTTCAATCTTATCTAGTTGTTTACCAATTGTTTTTAGACATTGATTAGTATAATTATTTTGTTCAATAACTTTTTTAATGTTAGGGTCGGTGCTAGGTAATTTAAAAGGGAAAGTTGGAACTTCAGCACTTGATGTTCAATAATTATGTTTTCTAATGGAGGATGATTAGAACTAACTGATGTAGTCGGAGATGTTTTCCATTTATGTTTTGTGATTGTATTAATCTTTTTGTAATATTTGTCGACATATTCTAATAGAGGTAATTCAAAACCATATTCAATCATAAAATCATACCATTGTTTAGTAATGTTGGACATTTGAGGAGAATTATATTTAGCATAATAAGCATGTCTTTGCGTTCTATTTTCCTTAGATTTGAAATTAATAAGTAATTTATCTAGATCAGGTTTAAAATCTTTTTTGATTGTCATTAATTGGGGATTGACTGGAGGTACAAATTCATCAAAATCAGTTTGAGTTGGAGAATTATTAGAAGCAATTTCTTCTTCAGGTAAATGTGTGTGTAGAATAAACAGGTTTACTAATTTGAGAGGAGGTAGTATTATCAATGCCTTTTAACTTACTAGTGGAAGTTTGACCAAGATGGATTTGACTATTTTTTTGAAATAATGGAGTATTAAATATTTCATCTTCAGTTTCAATTTCAGTCGGAACACTAGATGTACTATGTCGAGAGGATTGACTACGATTAAATTTAATCCGGACAGAACCATCATTGTATTGTTGAATATCTTGAATTGAAGATTGTTGTTGATTATGTTTGTAATTTTCATTAACAGTAATCCATTGATCAAGTAAGTCGATATTTTTTCATTCAATCATTTGAGAAACATTAATATTGGATTCATGATTACTACTGCTTTGAATTAATAGAGTTTGATCTTTAGGACTCTTGTGTAAAGCATGAACATTTAAATTAGTTTGCATGCATTTATAATGAACGCGATATATTAAAACAATATTATGAACTTTTTCTTTCATGTTAGTAAATGAACCATGTAATTGAATGTTTAATGTTAAAGCATCTAAAATATGTGGATCACGTAAACTAAGTGTAAAATCAGGAAAACAATTAAAATGTACTGGACCTTTATGAAGACCAGTTTCCATCATTCCCATTAAACTATCATTGTAATTAAGAAAGCGAGCATCTCTTAAACATAATAAAACAGAGGTATTTTTTCCTATCATAGTTTATGGATTAACACCAACTTGAATTAAACCAATATGCATAAAATTGTAACCATTATTTAAATGTCTTTTGATTAATTTAGCATCAAATAATCGGCAGGTTTCTCTAGGTTTTTCTAAAGCATAAACTTGTTCAATGGTTTTAACATACAGAGCGACTTTAAAAACATTCTGTATAAAAGTAGTTTTATAAATTTCTTTAATTGGTAGTCTAGGTATATTCCATCCTGCATCAATTTTATCATTTTGTATTTCAACATCTTCTTCATTTATTACTAACCCTTGATTAGGTATTGAGGACAAAGTTGTTGTTGACCTAGAACTGATTGATGAGTTACTTCTAAATAATCGATGCATTGTTTTGTTTAATTAATCAGTTTTACAGATATCTTAATACATACCCTATTCTAGTCATGTTATCACATACCAAAATGGTTTGAGTACAGACCCTATTCGGGAGACCCCTATGTCCTACACTGCCTAACTCTAAGGACTTACTCTGGACAGGAAACGAAAGTGGGTGACTTAAACCTGGTGGATAAACACAGACTGATCTCTTGGGTGATTAAGATGGACTGAAAACTAGATTAATCAAATAAACAACAGAATTGATTGATCAGAAGTAGCTAAGCAGTTAGAATCAGGATTCAACATCACGATGGCTTTGATACCAAAAGGGCGGAAGCAGAATGATTGTGGTTAATTAGTGCATTCCAATTCTGATTTGGGCTTTGATTGAGTCTTGGGCTGATCCGGTACTGCAGGAGCTTTGGACTTAGCCTTGGACTTTGATTTATCAGTTGTGGGCTGAATCTTGGACTTGGATGAATTGGGCTTGGAACCACTAGATGAGGGGCTTCCAAGGTTGATTGGAGGAAGACTGGGTTGACTTCATTGGCTGATTGCAGAAGTTGGATTCTGTTGGGCTTTAGCAATTGAAGGGGTAGGAGCACATTAATCAATGGGGAACTCTTCTTGAACAATTTCAATTATGCGAGGCAAATTAAATTTAGCCCACCATTTAACTGAGTGTTGACGGATGATTATATTGTCTTCAATTCCATAATGCCATTTAAATATCCAGGGGATTTTATATTTGGATATAAAAATTAACAAAAATGGAAATGTTCTTTGATGAGCAGTGAATGAGTAAACAGAAGCAAAATAATTAATTAGTTCAATAAGACCACCAGGGAGGATATCTGAAATGGCACCATAATGAGTCCATCATTAGGGATGGCAATTTGAAACCGACCCAACGGGGATCTTCGACCCTGACCCCGATTTGAGTGGTTTTTCCCCGAAAAATACCCCCGACGGGCCGGGGATGGTATTTAAAAATGAATCCCCGATGACTTTTGGGCCGGGGACGGGGATACGTTTCCCAGGCCCGTCCCCGGCCCCGATCCCCGACCCGACCCCCCCCGTTTCTCCCTGAAATAAAATTACTACTTTACCCCTGTATATATATATATATATATATAATATGCGTGTCTTTATGTTGCTCACACAGTCACTTTGCTCCTGTTGGCAGAAAAATTGAGAGAGAGGGAGGGAGGCTGTTGGCGTGAGAAAAATGGAGAGAGGGAGGGAGGGTCCTCCGCCGCCCAAGGGAGGGAGAGAGAGCCGATCCTTCGCCGTCGCCTCCTCCTCCTCGTTCTCCTCTTTCGATCGTCCTCCTCCGTCGTCGCACTCACAGCCACCCATCGCCTGCGAATCTCCGATCGTCCTCCGTCGTCCATCGCCACTGTCGGCGACGCCGACCGTCCTCCTTCGTCCACCATCACCTCCTCCGTTGTCCATTTCCGCCGATAGTCCACTCTCTCTCTCTCTCTCTCTGTGACACAGATCTCAGATCTGTTTGTATTTTTTTTTTTATGATCTGTTGATGAATCTTGGGATGTTGTTGATAGGGGATGATGATGAATGATGTTATTGTTGATTGTGTTGCTGTTGAAACAGATGGAGGGCGGGGAATCTTCAGGGTCGGGGATGGGGATGGTGGTAGGTTCCCCGTCGGGGATCGGGGCCGGGGCCGGGGAGATTTTCCAAATCGGGGATCGGGGACGGGAGTGGGATCCCCGGCCCCGCCCCGCCTCGTTGCCATTCCTATCCACCATCTTAGAAACCAAGAAGGTAATTCTGACTTGAATTTTTTATCAAAAGAAATGAACCAGGAGTGACTGAAAGTTATATATGTATATGTGTGTGTGTGTGTAGTATATACATACACAGTTCTAAAATTTTAGTCCTGAGAGCTTATCAATTTTGTGTATTGAAATTGTAAGAAAATATTTACTAGTCCACTCTTCCTTTGATTATGTAATACTATAAAAGTTTTATGCTTTTGTCTGCTATCCCCGCCCCTCCTCATTGCATAAATAGGATATATTTGTACTTGAATCTGTGTTCTCTGACATTGGCCCTATACATACGCAATTCTAAAATTTTAATCCACGGAAAGCTCATCAATATGTGAATTAAAATTGTATGAAAATATTGACAAATCCACTCTTCCTCTGATTATGTAACTCATATAGAAAGTTTCCATGCTTTTCTACAGGTTTGACTTTGGGTGGTCTCCTAAAGGCCAAGGAAGTAGAAGAACAAGCAATGAATAGCTCATTGAAAGATACTTATATACTAGAAAATGTAAACAATTGGAGGATTGAGTCATTGCCGAGTCTTCAAGAAGTGGAAGAGGTCATAGGGTATAATTTTAATAACCAAGACTTATTAGAGGAAGCCTTTACACATGTTTCGTACGGCGAGAAGTGCTTATCTTACGAGCGACTCGAGTATGTGGGTGACTCAGTGTTGAATCTTTTGATCACAAAAGAGCAATTTAACTTGTATCCAAATCTTCCACCGGGTTTGCTGACTCCTCTTCGCGCAGCCAATGTGGACACAGAGAAGCTTGCACGTGTCGCTGTCAATCGTAAGTTCCATAAATATTTACGGCACAGACTTCCTGTGATTAGTAAACAAGTAAGTGGCAAAGCTTTGTTTGGTCTCAAATTTTGTTGTTGGCATGGGTATGCAACAATTTAATATAATATTGTTGAAATTGTATATTGGTCTACCCCTTTGTGGTAGGCACCTAATGCTCATGCAAATATCTACACTGAGACAGTAGATGAATTGGACAGATGATGATATCTTGAGGTTGATTATGAACAATTTTTGTATAGTTGACTTGAGATTAACTCCTAGGAGTGCATGTAGATTGAAGCAATTCAGCTTCAATTTTGTTTGGTATATATGAGGAAACTGTCAGGACATCTAATTTCTAGTATGACTTAGGCCTCGGTTGTCAACTATACATTTTAGCCAAAAAGCCAAAAATCACTATAAATTGTCACATTACTCTCTCTATTTTTCTGCACATCTTTTCGTAAAAAGTCAAAATATTACTAAAATAGCTTATTCCCAAACGAGGCCTTAATGTGGTTATCATCTTTCTAATTGCAGTCTCTAAGTTGTAAATGAGTTGAATTTGTTTCGATATGCTAGTGCAAGTACAACGCACTGCAAGAGAACTAAATTTCTAGTCCTTGATGGAATCCTTTTACGAAGGGGTTCTTTGCTAAAACTAAAAAGTAAGTTCCTAAATATTTTAGTACTTCTTGCCTAGTGCTGAAATTTTTATATACTGAATTTTTAAATTTAGAAATTTAAGATATGTTAGTTGAGAATGAAGATTTACCTTCTAATAAGTGTATTTAGCATTAAGTGATAAATCAAGTTTCTCTACTTAAATTATTGCCCATGTTTAGTAAATTTTAAGTGTTTGGTGATTATGCATCATCAAAATCAGTTAATTGCACAATCATTGAATCTGTTCCATGTTAAACATTTTATTTTGCTATCAAACTAAACTAAGTTTACCATTCTTGTACAGATTTGAGAATTCATTGGTGCTCTTCAGTATCAATTACTGAATCTGTTCAATTTTAAACACTTAATTTTGTTGTCAAACAGAACCTAAGTTTACTACAATTGTACAGATTCGAGACTTCATTAGTGTTCTTCCACAGTATCCATTGCATTCCAATGGACTGATCGATGCTCCAAAGATCCTTGCTGATATTGTTGAATCCACAATTGGGGCCATATTCATCGACAGCAATTCATCAATTGACACCACCTGGAAGGTTTGTCCCTTTAGCATTCTATACTTCTATCCAAGATATTGTTCTTGGACTGACACACTCATGCACATAGAAGCACACGTTATGATGGCAATCATGCGCACTTCACTATAATATTGATACATATGATGATTATTATAATTTGTAATTCACACTAGTTAACGGTATGATTGTTGTAATAGCTGTAGTTTTCATTTGTATTTCTCAGTGGAAAAAGGGAAGATTGTATTTTCTTAATGAACAGCTATCCTATGTTTTTAGCCTACTTTATAAATAGAAAGTGCCTCACATGTTATGGCATTTTTACTTCTTTGCTTTGTTTTTTTTTTTTTTTTTTTTATATAAAAATAACATAGTAAGCTCAAATAATAGAAAAGGCACCAAAATTTCTTAGTTTTATATTATATTAAAAGTTCAAAACCTATTTTTTTTTTTTAATTGTTCGAGGCCCAATCTAAAAGGTCCTTCAAAAAAATCTGCTAGGCCAAATTAAAAATATATATATATATATATCATCATTGTTAGGCCTAATTAAAAATTTATATAATTAGTCCAAATAAATATATATGATATAATGAGTTCAAATAGAGTCTAATGTCAAGATTTTAATAGACAAATAATTTTATTTTAATTTTTTTACCCTTTCTCTTTATCATATTTTAATTAAATAATTTTACCCTAATTTATTTTCCTTAATTTTGTTTGCCCTAATTTATTTGCCCTCTTTCTTTATCATAATTTAATTGAATAATTTTGCCTTAGTTTTTTCTCTCAATTTTTTTTCCTAATAGTTTGTATTTTGTTATCAAATAATTAATGGATTGTGATTTGTGTGGATTATGATTTGTGTGAATTATGATTGTTTTATCAGATATCGTATTACAATAATATAATCATTTTGTTATCAAATATCAGCGAATTATGTTGTTTGCATTGATTATTGCTAAATTATAAAACAAGACCCTATTTTATATTTTTTGAGTCCTTGTAATGATTTTTTCGTATCTTTAATGTATGAAAATAAATTTTAATGATTATATGTGTAAGGAAACTTTTTGTAGCTACTAAATAATAAAAAAAAATTATTGATAACTTATTATTTTATTCATAATTTTTTTTATAAAAAATATATATATAAGAGGGCCTCACTTTCTAGGGCTCCATAAATCTCCCCCCCCCCCCCCCCCCCGCGCGGGGGAGGGGGTGATCATTTGCAAATATGAGGAGGATCATTTGCAAATATGAGGAGAATCACATCAAACTAGACTAGTATAGTTCAACAACACAACGTAAGAAAGAGACTATAATGGCAAGAAATAAACAACTCAGTACAAAAAAGAGCGTCCATAATGGGGAGAGAAATAATCACGCCTTGCATTTGACATAGATTGATTCCCTGATCTCCCAATTAGGAGTGTACATTAGTGGCCTATTGAGGTAGCCCAGATGGTTAGCTGTTTTACTTAAAACAATGGGTTTCTTGTTAAGAGAATTGAGAAAATCCCCAGCCGTCAAAAGAGAAAGGGGGAGAAAAACTTAAAAAGGAAAGAAAAAATTAGAGAGAACGTGTGTGTGAGAGAGATAGAGAGAGAGAGAGAGAGGGAGGCGGGGGAATTTCACATTAGTTCCCTAGATCTTCCCGCCCTCCCACTACTTTCTGCATTTCTTTTGACTACAATTTATTTTTTTAGTTAATTTTTTGCCATAATTTCAGCATGTTCTGAATATGTTAAAGTGCTTCTTGTTGACAAAATATTTGCTGTCTAAACGTTAATCTTTTTGGTCAACTGAGGAATTGATTTATAGTATTGTTGAACTCAACATGATGGTTTATATTTTTATGGGTAGGTAGCCAAAGGTTTATTGCATCCCATAATCACTCCAGAAATGCTTCAAACACATCCAGTAAGGAAGCTTTACGAGACATGCCAGAAGAATGGTTTGAAAATACGACTCATCGATCTATGGGCAAAAGAAGGTGCTTACGAAGTCATTGTCGACAATCATGTAAGGGGAAAAGGTAAGTGCCTTGCCAAGAAGGAAATTGCACTAAACAGAGCTGCAAACGAGGCATATAATGAAATTGTGAGAAAACTTGGGGTGAAACATGATATCAATTGTGGTGGCTAATGGCCCATTGTAATGTTCAAATTGGATAGATTACATTTTTCTATGTAGTCCATCTTTTGGATATGGAAAATAGAATTCCGCATTTTAACATTGGCTAGTGCTTGATTCAACAATTTTGTATTTCTAATCTCATTTCTATTCAATACAGGTATGGCTTGACGGTAAGATTATCTCATTGTGATTTGTAGGTCATTAGTTTGAAGCACAGAAACCACCCTAGGTACATGTAATTTTTGTGAAATTTCATAATGGTGACCCTGTCACGCATTATACTCTAGATCTTTAAGTAGGCATATGATTATGTGCTTAATGTGAATTTGAATGTCAATTATGAGTTTTATGTGATTTTTGGCTTCACATCTGTTGCTTGTAGAAATATTTATTACAATTACTGCTACAATCTGGAATTGAAAGCCGTAAAGGCGACAAAAATCGAAATTGATTGCTTTATGGTAATCAGGCATAATTTTTAGAGTCTATTGTAAAATTTAATTAAAAATTAATTTAGAGCAAATTAATTGGATTAAGTTTAATAAAGATCTTGTTTGTCAATTATACATTTTAGCCAAAAAATCGTAAAGTTATTATGAGTTGTCACATTAATTTCTTTACTTTTCTACATATTTTTTCGTAAAAAGTCATAAAGTTACTAAGCCTCCGTTTGGGAAGTGGGTTGGCTTTTTGGCTTTTTTGGCTATTTTAGCCTGGGCTTAAAAGCTTGGTTTGGGAAGAGTTTTTTGACTTTTTTGAGTTTTTTTGTGAGAGAAGAATGTAATGATTATGGGTTGGATGTGATGTTTTGTTTGCTATGGCTAAAATAGTGTATTTTGTTTTTTGTGGTTAAAATAGTCAAAAAAGCCTGCAAACCCACTTGCCAAACATAGGCTAAAATAATTTGTTTCCAAACAAGACTTAAGTTTTCGTTTGACATTGACTTTTTTAGCTAGCTTTTTTGTATTGAAATTTTTTTAGCTTGACTTTTTTAGTTACGTTTGGTTTGACTTTTTTAATTTTTGTGAAAAAAAAAATGCAATGATTATAATTTGAATATGATATTTTATTTTATTAATTTATGTAATTAATTATATATTTTTGTATTTTTTTAACTAAAAATCTAAAAGCAAACGAAACTACTTAAGTTTTGTGTAGTTAATCAATTAGTCAATTAGTAGTTAATCAATTAGTCAATTAGTTGAGCCTATGTAAGGCTAGAGAGGCTTCTGGACACTTCGTTCTCATTTTTTTGAGGGCAAGAAAAACCTGAGGAGATAGAGAGTTCTCAGAGTCTGTGTACTGAGTTACTAGTTTCACCAACTCAACTCAACTCAATTAGAAGGGGTTTTCTTTGGCCGCAAGCGATGACTAGGGGCGTGGTGCCGTGCTTAGACTTTTGCTTTTATTTCCCACATTAATTTCTGGAGGCCCACTTTACACTCTGTTTTCGGAATTCAATAAAATTGACTGCGGAGGAAGTCATATTTGACTTTTATTTATTTATGGAGGAATTACATTGATGGTTTGAGGCCGTATTATTTCCATTCATAATTTTTTAATTGTGATATATTTAATATTAAAATTTTAATTTTATTTTAAATAAAAATAATTAAAAATAAAATTACTTAATTTTAAGAAAAAAAATCGTCAATTTAATAAAATATAACTAATTTGACAAAAATAAATATTAAAAAAATATTTTTAAATTTTTAAAAATTATTGTTATTCATCAAAGATAAAATTAAATAAAATTGATAAATTTTTTACACATTTATTTAACAATGTGAATGTCATCATCGGCAAAAACAAAACAAGGAATAATCTGCTCCCAAAAATATCCATCTTCTATCACATTTTATAATGGTACCATAATACAATTTTTAACTTTTTTTAGATGATAAAATATTTTTTAATTTTAAAAAACATCAAAATGGGTGAGGGACAATATTTTACCACGTCCTCGTATTATATATTAGTATATAATATAGGTTGTTATATATAGCAATCATTGCCACGTCGGCGTCGAATCTAATGGCCATCATCACGACAATCATCAAACTGACTGATCCTATTTAGATTTAGAAAAAAGATTTGGACCCTTTGCCCTGTTTGTTTGGGATTATAGGGACGGGATTGAGTTTGGTAGTGAGAAGGGATTGAGAATGAGGTGTTTGTTTTGAGAGATAGAGAGGAGATTAGTAATCCCTTGGTATTAGTAAAGAAGAGGAAGGGGAATTGGTAAGGAGGAGGTAGAGATAGTATTAGAAAAATAGTGAGGGGATTAGAAATTTTTTTATTTTTTATATATTGGGAATTTTTTTTAAATATAATGTTTAATTTTTTATATTTTTTATATGTTTTATTATTTTGTATAAAAATAATTTAACAATTCCTCACTATTAATCCCCTCACTATCAATCCCCTCCATTCTATCTCTGAAAACAAACGAGACCTTTGGGAGTTACTCCATGACTTCCTTTGCTTTTGATTGGTTAATTTTTTATTTATTTATTTTATTTTTTCTTCTCTCAATCCCCGACCCTCACGTGTGGTGGGGGGTGGGAGTTTTGAGGGGTCCTAATCACGGCGGTTAGATTTACTAGCGGTATGCAATTTAAACAAATAAAAATAAAATAAGATAATAATAAAATTAATATTATAATGAGCTGGTTTGAAAAGTTGAAGGTTGGACTTTTTTAGTTAAAATAGTCACAAAAAAATAAAATAGACTTTTTAGTTTAACAAAATAAAATTTCACATCTAACTCATAATCATTATATTTTTTCTCTCACAAAAAGTCAAAAAGTCAATCCACTCCCTAAACGAAGTCAATATATACTTACAGTTTAAGTGATATGAATATTTTATGGATTTACTCACCTTTTTATGTAACTTTTTTTTTTTTTTAAATAAAAAATATTGTCACTTGATATGAGGAAGGTAAGACTTCACGAAGTGAAAAATGATTTGGAAAGATTTGATATAGATTTGATATGGCAACTTATATTTTTTTTCCCTCTTATGTTTGGAAATTTTCTTGTTTTGGCCCTTAATTTTTTTTTTTCTCACTTTGATTTTTTATGTTTTAATTTATTCTAAAAGCTAACTTATGTCTAAAATTAAACAGAAAATGATATAGAATAATGCTAGAGATCCCAAATATTCTACCAAAATTTTTACCAAATGTCTCACATGGGTGTGGGACCCACACAATGTGGGTCCCATGTGAGTCCCACACCCATGTGAGACATTTGGTAAAACTTTTGGTAGAATTTTTGAGGTCTCTAGCATTTTTGAATGATATATTAATAGTCATATAACATAAAAATATTTTATTATATGTTACTTATACTTTTGACACAAATCTAAATTTTAATATAATAATATATTTTTTTATGTTATATGACAGTTAATGTGACAATTTATGTCTAATTTTGAATATAAATTTACTTTAAGAATAAATAGAAAAAAATGAAGAATAAAAGTGAGAAAAAAAATTCAAGACTTAAAAGTAAAAAATAACCAAACATAAAATTTTTTTAAAAAAACAAAGTATAATTTACCTAAATTTGATATTTCTCGTTCACTTTTTTAAAAAAAGTTAGGATTCTTCACTTATAAGTCTTTTTTTAGTTAAATCAACTAAAAAATATATATTTTGTCATCTATCATACATCAAAAACATTAAATCTTCAAATAAGTTTAAAAACTAACTTATTTAGCTAAAATACTTACAAAAAAAAAATACAATAAAATAATAAGATTTCTAAACAATATGATTTATTTAAATATATTTTAACCTTAAATTATTTATTTACTTATAAACTAATACGAGTTAACGTGCAGCTAAAAAAGTCTTTAGGTATGGAAAAAAAATTATGCTTAGTTTATGAAAAATGATGATGATGGCCTTCATTAAGTTAAAACGAATGTATAAGAAAGTTTATTGAAATGTGTAAAAAATAAATAAAAATATTTTAAGATTACTAAAAGTTGTATTAAAATTTTAATTTTAATTTTAATTTATTTTTTTATAATTTCTTCCCTTTTTTTACATTAGCATGACCTTTGGGTCTAGTTTAATTATCAATCTATAATATTAGTGTAAGATTTGTTATTCGGCTAGATTAGTAAGATAAATAATTTCCTTTTGTCTACATTTATTTTGGAATGACTTGGAAATATGTAATTTCAATCATATATTTATTTTGCAGTATTAGTTGTAGGATTAAAAATTTCTCAATTTTATTAGATAGGTTATTTATTAAAATATAATCTGAATAACAAAAATTACAACCACATAATAAAATACAAGTCTTATGACTTAATAATCTTAATCTTATATTATTATCTAACCAATCAAACAAGTCCTCAGTTTATAAGGATAGAAAAAAAACATCAAAACAAAATAAAAACTAATAGCGAAACAGTGATTATTTATTTATTGTTTTCCAAAAAGTTAACATTAATCATCATACATTAACAAGTCCAACCAAAACCGACATACGTAATTATATTGTATAAATATTTTATAGAACAAGAAACAATCACATATATATTATACACACATTTTCTAGAACAAGAAACAATAATTATTTAATCTCTCTTTTTTATCCTTAAATTAATCTATAAAAAAATTAATTAATTAATACAAATCGTATCAATATCATCGACTACTTGTATATTTATATATAATAATACCCAGAAACACAACCACTCATCACAAAGTCTTTTCTTAATCTCTATCTTGTCAGTGTGTCTTTGGCTCGTCCTCGTACCATGTCTGTGACAGCCATGGAAGACAACAAAGATCAAGCTCAACTCGTTCGATTAGAAGACGAAGAAGAGAGTGAGTCGATGACCGAGTTGTTCCCGAGTCTTGACGAGGTCGAGCAGATCATAGGTTACGATTTTAAAGATAAAAGTTTGTTGCGACGAGCCTTTACTCATAGCTCGTACAGAGACAAGAGCTATGAGCGACTCGAGTATCTGGGCGATTCAGTGCTGAATCTTTTGATAGCCAGTAGGGACTATTTTGGAAATCCGGATCTGCCACCAGGGAGGCTGACCCGGCTCCGAGCCGCCAATGTTGATACCGAGAAACTTGCACGTGTGGCTGTCAAGCATGATTTGTATAAGTATCTGCGGCACAAGAAACCCCTACTTGATGGACAAGTAAGTTTTTTTCGTTGCTTTGTTGTAGAGTTTAATTGAAAAGGTATTTTTAAAAAATATGGATACATTACACTTTGTCACTTTAAAATTTCATTCATTTTTCACTTTAGTTTTGTAAATTTAATTTTTTTCACTTTGACCTTTTATGTTTGTAATCCATTTCACTTTGACAATGCATATATGCAATCACTCTCATTTTATTCCTAGATTAATTTTCATCCAAAAAATTAATAAAATTTGCCACATCACTAATACATCAATTCCATGTGTGATGTAAAAAAATTCACTAAAGATGTAAATAATAAAAAATAGAAAACAAAAAAATTAGAATTTTTTTTTAGTATTTAGTGAACTTTTTTTTTTTTTTCAAATTTGTTCATAAACATTATTATATTATAGATGCATCTAGATTAGATGTAGCTAAAAAAATAAAAACTAATTTAACTATAAAAAAAAAGTTTACTAAAGACGAAAAAAATGAAATTATACTAACTCAAATACCTATATTGTCAATTCTGAAATAAAAACTTTGCTATCATTTTTTTCATCTTTAGTGAACTTTTTTTATTATTTTTTTAGTTAAATTTGTTTGGGTAAATTACACTGACACCTCCTGAGGTTTCTGACAAATACAGGGACCTCCTCTGTGATTTCAATAATTGCAAAAACCTTTCCTACTTTAACTGACATTATCAAGATTCTCCCAATTTCTAATTGCCTTTACAAGACCTAACAGAAAGTGCTGATATCACTCATTATAAATTATGAAATGCCAAAAATACCCTCATTGCCTTCTAATTCACCTTCTACTCATGTCATTACCAGTACCAACCCATTTACCATTGTAGCACCTCCTACAAAATCAAAAATATACATAAAGACATATCTATATATATATATATTTCATAAATGTAAGATGCAATTGATCAAACCCACCACAAACCACCTTCACACCTTAAACCCACAAATCTGTTAAACAACACCCCCGTTACCTCAAATCCACTAAATCTGTTAAACCCACCGCCACTGCCTTAACCCATTTGCGTTTGATTTCAAAAATCAATTCTACAAAGTGTTATGGGTCTTGAGAGAAGAAAGAGAAAAATATATTACAGAAGATAGAAGATGAGGAACTAACTCTGCCCCATCACTCATTATAAAATAAATAAATAAATAAATAAAAAATCAATTTTGTTTCGTTTGGTTGCCTAGAAAATGCAAGAAAATAAAAAATAACTAAAAATTCATTCCAGATCAACACCCAATTGATACAAAGCAAAGTTTTGAACATTCTTAAACCAAAATAACAAAATACCAAATAGGCAATCTCAATCCCAGATAGGCAATCTCAATTCCAGATTAACAATCCACTGTTCTTTCTCCATTCCCAATCTCAAACCTAGATAGGCAAAAGCTTCAGTTTCCTTTTTCTTTAACATTATCTCAATCTCAGGCCTATCATTGCCATCCCTGCAATAAAAAAGAAATAATAAATCCCTCTATCTCCGATCAACCTCCGCATCTCCCTTTTCTTCTTCCGCCGTTCGTCTCCTTTCTCTCTTCATCATTCTCTTTTTCTTTTTCTTCTCCTAATCGTGACCAAGATCTCAACAAGCCATCATAAACCCAGACCCAATGTTGCTACCATTACCACCCTCTACCACTCTGAAAACCATAGATGTAGGGTTAAGGTTTCAGAAAAAGAAAAAGATGAGGAGGAGAGGAAAAGCGAGCGGTGGAGAGAGAGTAAAGGAAGAAGAAGAAGAAGAGGGTGAGGAAAGATGACGGTGGTAGATAGCAGACGACGAACGATGAAAATGAAAGGCACTGGCGAAGATGAGCTTATCTTTCTCTCTTTCTCTTGCAGTTCAATCGGATGTGAGAGAACAAACAAAATTCATTTCTTCACAAAGGGTAATGGAGGGAGGAGGAGGAGCATCAGTCTATATTTTGTAGGATTTATAAAAGATCAAGGGGTATTTTCATCTTTTTACACTCAAATAAAAGGATAATGTGGTCATTTTGTATAAGAAAATAACGTCGTTTGTGCAAAATTGACGGATTTGAGGAATCTTAAGATTGTCAGTTAAAATACGGGAGGTTTCTGTAATTATTGAAACTACATGGGAGGTCCCTGTATTTGTCAGAAACCTCAGGGAGTGTCAATGTAATTTACCCAATTTGTTTTTATTTTTTTAGCTGCATCTATAATGTAATTATGTTTATGAATAAATTTGGAAAAAAAAGTTCACTGAAAACTAAAAGAATTTCAATTTTATTTTTTATTTTTTGCATCTTTAGCGAATTTTTTACATCACATGTGGAGTTGATGTGTTAATGATGTGACAAATTCTGTTACTTTTTTGGATGGAAGTTAGTCTAGGAGTAAAGTGGGAAGGATTGCAAACATGAAGGGTCAAAAGTGGGAAGGATTATAAACATGAAGGGCTAAAGTGAGAAGGATTGCAAACACAAAGAGCCAAAGTGGAAAAAATTAAACTTAAAGGGCCAAAGTGAAAAATGAGTGAAACTTTAGAGAGGCCAAATATAATTTACCCAAAAAATAATTACAGATCGATAATAAATTTTATAAATATTAATAATTAAAATTTTAAATTTTTTCAAAAATTTATAATTATTTTTAAAAAATTTTACTAAATTATAAATTCTCCATTTTAATTTCAGTAGGTTTGTTTCATGTATATATTGGCCTGGTTTGGCAAGAGTTTTTTTTAGGGTTAAAATAGTTAATAAAATTTTTAAAAAAATTAAAAAAATTAATAAGATAAAATGTCACATTCTACATATCAAACAATAATTTGTTCTTCCACAATCATCTATTCAACCACAAAAAAAAATTCACAAATCATTTAAAATATAATTTTTTTTATCTTATAAAATAACTAAAAAATAAATTAAAAAAACTAACTAAAATAGTGAAGTTCATAAATGAGACCATTAAAATCTACTACAAGAGTTGTCATATTGGAACAAAATTTTAAAAATAGAAAATAAAGAGTTTGTCAACTGTATGGAGAAATGTAACTAGCTAGTAGGGTGGTTTGGGGGTGTTTGGCAAAGTGTTTTTTTTTTTTTTTTTTTTTTACAAAATTTTTTTTTTTTTTTATATACAAAATGATAAAATAGGTTAAAATAATTAATTAAATAAAATGTCACATCAAATTCATAGTTATTTTATTTTTTCTCTCACAAATATCACATCAACTAAAAAAAATCTAATTATCTTTACAAATATAAAAATTTTAACCTATTAAAATAATCTAAAACTAAAATAACCTATTAAAATAATAACTTTCCAAACACTCACAATGTAAGCTTTTTGAATGTGATCTTGAAAATGATGTTACTGGTAGGTGATGGTATTGTTAATATGGTGGTGGTGATGATAATAATGGTGGTAGGTAAGAATTAATGTATTTTATTAAAATCGATGAGATAAATATGAATAAAATTAAAGTAAAAATCTAAATTAAACATATAAAAACTTAAGAATTTACGAGATTCACCTCAGTAGAGTTACGTCTATGCTTATTGCGAATTTACTTTGATTTTTAAAAAAGAGTTACAATACAATGTAGCAGCTTGGTAAGACCAATTGGTGGTGTTGTGCTCAGAAAACATTTTCTGCTCCCCAAAATGAACTTTTTTTCCTTTTTAATTGACTATAGCAAATTATTTACTGTCATGCCAAATACTAAATAAATAAATAAAAATCCATAAAGATTTTCTAAAAAAAAAGCAACGTCAACCAATTAAAAATAAGTTTTTGATAAATTTTTGAAAGTTATATATATACAAGAAAATGTTGGTAGTGTCTAATTATGTAAGGAATATATTATATATGGAGTAGTAATCTGGATGTACCCAAGCTTTAAGCTTGAGCTTGTTGCACATATATACAGATTTGTGATTAAAATTTTTATTTTTATTTTTTTATTCCCTTCATGGTGTTTGTTCGAATTGTGCACTATATAAAATGAACATGAACAGATTAGAGAATTCATGGATGCAATTCCAGAGTACCCTTTCCACTCCAATGGCTTGATCGATGCCCCAAAGGACCTCGCTGACATGGTTGAATCCACAATTGGTGCCATTTTCATTGACTCCAATTCCTCATTGGACACTACATGGAAGGTATAGCAAACACTAGTCTACTCTGGATTTTTCTAAGTAGTTTAAATCTTATTTTGATACCAATCTGAGTAAGGTGATCTCTATTTCCTATAAAAGCACAACTTGTTAGAGCTGCCTGACTGATTATTTTTTGCCGGAGTGAGTCCTAATGGTTAAGTTTGTGATGTGTGCTAATTTGGGAAAATAAATCAAGAGTTTAGTATTGATATCGATGATTACTTGCATCTTCTTTCATATGCTACCTTCCTTTTTATATAGTCGTGTGTCTTATTTATGTGTCATTTTATATGAAATATTTTCTTAAAAAATGATTTAACCATTATTCTGGCGCTTGCAAACCTTTGTGTGACACCTCTTACCGTTTAATGTCCATCACGCCCGTTTGGCAAAATGCCAAGTTCTTTCACAGATTTCAACCTATTTCTTCCTTTCCCTGATGTCCTTTGTCCAAACTTTTTATTCTTCTGATCTTGACAAGTTTAATAGGCACATTTTCTCTCATCCATGGTCCATTTCCTTGTTTTGTAGGCCTTTATCTTAGTCTAGCCCACTACATTTTGTGGGACTTTACCTTACTATAGTTTCTTCATTACACAATTATTACCATTGATGTTCAAATCCCATTACAATTGTAAATTGTAATATATCCTTAAACATTAGTTTTTTTTTTTATCTCGCGTTTCAGGTAATCAAGAGTTTGTTGGAGCCAAGAATCACTCTTGCAATGCTTCAAGTTCATCCAGTGACAAAGTTCTATGAACTATGCCAGAAACACGGATTTAAAGTACAATTTGTAGACTTATGGAAGGAAAGCGGGGCTATTGAAGTTTTTGTAGACAATAAATTTGTTGGAAAAGGGATGTACAGACCCAAGAAGTTAATTGCACTAAACAGAGCTGCAAATAATGCGTACAATGTAATTGTGAAAAATTTGAGCATAGAAGATAACAACAAAGATGACCATGACTAATATCAAATGAAATGCATTCGAGAAATTAGAAAATAAAGAACGAAAAATAACCTACAATGTTGAACAGGTTCTTAGTGCCTTGTTTGACATTTCCAATTTGACTGTTTACATTGTGTAACAGTTAGCTACCTACTTACATAAAAAGGCACTTATTGTTAAAGAGCTTTTGTGCCATGTATAACTTTGGGGATTGGCTTTTGCTCTTTTGAGGCTTCATTAGACTAAAATTAAAAAGTTAATTTATTTATTTGATTTGTTTTAATTTTGAGTAATGTTACATCCTTTAAATTTTTCTCCCCTCTCAAACTCTCCCCATCAATGAAGAGAGTTTAGGGGGAGGGGAAATTGGGAGATGGAACATTTTTTTCTAATTTTTTTTGAATATTTTAAACTTTTGAGTTAATTTTTTCTTTTTTAAAACTTTTTAAGTCCTTCAAAAGTTAATAAAATTTTTACATAATAAAACAAAAGTATATGGGTGAATTTATTACCTGATGAAAGATAAATTTTCAAAAACATACTATGAACTCATTTAGGATAAATTATTAAAAATAAAATTTAATTGTCATAATTAAAAGTTAATAAAACTTAATGATATATGTATATATATATATAGGGCAAATTACATATACACCCCTCGAGGTTTGGTTACATTACAGATACCCCCTGAGGTTTCGGAAATTACATCCCGCCCCCTGAGGTTTGTATTTTCATAACAATTTACCCCCTGAGGTTTATATTTCATAACAAATTACCCCCTATAAAAATTTTTTTTAAATAAATTAACTTTTTATATTAATCATATATATATATTATTAAAAGTAGTGTTTTTCCTATTCTTAAGTAGTACATTATAAGGGTTTACTTCTTTCTAAACAGAGTCACGTCAGAATGTATTTTCTTAATTACATATAGAGTTTTACACAAATTCAAACCTAATTTAAATTATATTAACTTTACCTATTTTATATGGACTCTATTTAACAAATATTTCCTTTTCATATATTTTTCATGTTAAATTGAGATAATCCATAAATCCAATATTAATTTTGCATTTCATATTTTTATTTTTAATTTTTTCAAGAGTATTAGGATTTTTTTTAAAACTAAATTATTTTTTTTCTTATTTTCCTGTGCATTATTCTATACTCAATGCTAATTATATATTATTTTATATTATGGATTTATTGTTTAAATTTTATAGTAATTCTATATATGATATTATATTTGATTTCTTACATTATTTTATATAACCATAACTTATAGAAGGAAAAACATGCACAACAATGATACTCTCAATGAACCTCTAAAGTTTAGATTTACTGTTTGAGTTACTTTTTCAATTGTTGAATAGTAAGTTCTTTTATATTTTAATACCATATTATAAATGATTAATCACTTGACACTCTGAAATATATCTATCATTTGGATGGTTATATCATTTTTTCTTTGTAGGTTTAGATGTTATTATGTGATTTTTTATTGATTAGTCATTGTTGAATTTATTTTATATAGTTTATATTTTAATTTAATTAAAAGTGTTTAATTTACAATCTTATAATTATATATATATATATATATATATCATATAAAATCATTATATAATAATCCAACTATAACATATTTATATTTAATTTTTTTAATAAATTTTATATAATTTATATTTCTACATATTTTTATTTCCAAATGAATATAAAAGCAAATTGAATAGTTAGAAAAATAACCTACAATGTTGAACAGGTTCTTAGTGCCTTGTTTGACATTTCCAATTTGACTGTTTACATTGTGTAACAGTTAGCTACCTACTTACATAAAAAGGCACTTATTGTTAAAGAGCTTTTGTGCCATGTATAACTTTGGGGATTGGCTTTTGCTCTTTTGAGGCTTCATTAGACTAAAATTAAAAAGTTAATTTATTTATTTGATTTGTTTCTAATATTATCAAAATAAATAATTAAAATCATACTTTAATTTTAATTTTAAATTAAAATTATTTTTTTATAATACAGATTGTACCATTAAATATTTTTTAAAAAGAAAAATAATACATGGATTACACAAGTTAACTACTAATTTTTTAATTATTTAAGCCTCACACCCCTGTAGCTTTGGCCAAAATAAATAGCAATAAAAAATAAAACAATGAAATGAAATGAAGAAAAAATAAATAAGAAAAGAGTTAAATTTGTCCTCACGATAGCCAGTTAAGCTAGTGGGGCCGGTGAAAATTCTTTAAAAAGAAAGGCCCAGATCCTTCGCGAAGAGGTAAAGCCCATGTTAGGTGCAACCGTGGAAACAGTGAAAACCCGACTGGAAATAGCAATCAAATAACCGAGATCGGAAGCTATCATCAAATCAAACACCAGTCTTCCAATTTCCAAACCTGTTTGTCAAAAAAAATTTCCAAACCTGTTTTGGATTTGGTTTTGGATCGTCCTCTTCATATTGCATACATATGTATACATCTATATCTATAGATACACTCCTGTAGAGAGAGAGAGATTGAGAGATTTCTGAAGAAGTTTAGAGAGAGAGAGAGAGAGATGGATTTTGAACTGAGAAGAGCGAGAGAGAAGCTAGAGAAAGAACAGAAGGAGAGGAAAGAGAAGGCGAAGCTAAAGCAACAACGAGAGAGGAAAGCCAGAGAGGAGGCTGCTCGGCAACGCGAGGCCATTGAAGCCGCTCAGCGATCTCGAAGGATCGATGCTGCCGAAGCTCAACTCAAGGTAATTCATGATCTTCTGCTCAATTTTAAGGTAATCGAATTAAAAAAAATAATAGTTTACTTAGGGTTTATGAATTTCTTGTGAGACAAGATAGATTAATTTTCCTACTCCCTCCCCCCCCCCCCCCCCCCGGTATGTAGTTCTAAATTTGTTATTGTTCATTTGGGGGTAATCTAAGTTATGATTTAAGATTTGTGTATTATGTTTACATCTTTATCAGTTGTGTTAGGTTTGATGATAATGCACTTTTTTTGTTTGTTTGAAATTATTAATTAAGCATATCAGCGTAAACCCACATTTAATATGATTGAAATTCTTTGCCAATAGAATGAATAAACTCAGCATAAAGTGGTTGTCTTGATCCATTAATTTATGAGGTGATTGTAAGGCTTGTGTGGTGCCAGAGGTTATTTTTGGTTCCCAGATATAATTTCCCTAATCTATTGTTGAATATTTGTAGAGTTGACAAGTTTAAGGGTTGTTTGAGAAGTGCTAGATTAGTATATTTTTTTGACTTTTTACGAAAAAATGTGAAATATGGGTTGGGTTTAAAGTAATGTGATAGAGAAGCAATGTGACCCAAATAGGATAATGTGTTAAAATAGCATGTGATATTTTATCACATATCAAATAAGCACTTAGTATCACAAAACGAACGGGACATGATCTTCATATATAAAATAATAATAAAGGAATACAAATGAATGGAGGAAAATGGATAGGCCCCGTTTGTTTGGGGTTATGGGGAGGGGATTGGGTTTGATAGTGAGGTGAGACTACTATATGGGGTGTTTGTTTTGAGAGATGGGGAGGGGACTCCTAATCCCTTGGTATTAGTAAAGGCTTTGGAAGGGGGATTGGGAAGGAGGATGTATAGAGATGGTATTAGAAAAATAGCGAGGGGATTAGAAATTTTTTTATTTATTTTTATTTTTTATATATTGGGAATTTTTTTAAAAATATTAGGGCTCGTTTGGTTTGATTTTCTGAAAAAATTTTAGGAAATTTTCTCTACAAATAAGTTTTCAAAAATAATCAAACCAAACAAATTTTCCCAAAAAAATTTCTCAAAACTTGTAAACCAAACAAGTTTTCCAAACAAATCTCTCTCTCACACATATCAAATCAATCACTTTTTCCAAAACTCTATCTCAAAATAATTTTCCAAAACATCTTTTAAAAAAAACTAAACCAAACATGTTTTCGTACTTTTTATCTCTAAAACACATCTCTCAAACACAAACCAAACATACCCTTAATGTTTAATTTTTTTATATATTTTTATTTGTTTTATTATTTTATATAAAAATAATTTAACAATTCCTACACTAACAACTATCATCAAAACAAACACAATTTTACTTAATCCCCTCACTATCAATCCCTTCACTAACAATCCCCTCACTATGAATCCCCGCCATTCTACTTCTGAAAACAAACGGGGCAAGAGTCTTGTTAATGTGTGACCTCAGGGCACGTGTTAAAAGGCTTAACAAGATTGTGCATTCTTTATTGCACTGACTTTCATGCGGAATGTACAGTCTTCTTAAGTTTCTTAATATGTGTCCTAAGGCCACGCGTTAATGAAATTCATATATAATAATAGCACGCAACTTTAGAAAATAAAACGTGCTAATTCAGAGGAAGGTGAGGATTCGTGTCTGACCTGGAATAAAGCTTCTATTAACCTTACCAAATCAAAGGAAGAGACTGCATCCTTTAGGTAAAGTAAGACATGCATAAATCCACAGGTGAAGATGAGGCTGCAAGGTTGTAAATTCACAACTTTTTGTGAGAGAATGTCACAGGGAAATAATCCTGAGAATCTGAGATGAAATTACTTATTCTGCTTTTATTGCTTGTCCTCATTGAACTAAGAGTAGAATTACTTGCTTATTTTCATGAATAAATTTTCACTGTAATACCTTTCAACCATCCTAGGAGAAATGAGAGAAGCATAGCATGGTTGGGTACTTGTAAAAGGGTGAAAAGGTGGTGAGTAATAGCCCCTGAGTGCTCACAGGTTAAATAGATTTACATAAAGGTGATAAGATACTGTTCGGATGTTACCCATCAAAAAAAAGAAAGATAATGTTCCGATGTTTGATCAGAATTTGCAATTGATTGGTCAGCAAAATGGGCGAAGTGTTAGGGTAAAAGAGTTGATTGGGTAGGGAACCCATGGCACTGTAGAATTCAACAGACAAGTCTACCCTGCGTGGAATTGATGTGATGTTGGTGTGATGCAAAGTTGAGAAGGGTTTTGATGAAGTTGTTTCCTGTATGGTAACACAAATTTCTAGTATGGTCAAGCCGTATTCTCTACATAATGTGATGCTTGAAAACGACTAGATTTTTTGAAATAATGGATGTATTTGCATTAGGGCTCTAGGTGTTAGAAAAAACATAATTCATTTAACTGTTTAACAGTACGTCATCCATTAGTTGAAAAAGAGAAGGTCCAAACAGTGACCTGACAGTTCAATTGGTTTGAATAGGAATTCCCTGCCTTGATTTCCAATCTCTATAAAAGATTAAGCTTTCAACCTGCTAAAGTTGCCACTGTACGCATCAATTATCAATCACTTCAGGCATGGTGGTGTGGGTTTATACTGTTGAACATGAACATCGATTATTATGTCATTTAGGTGTCAGAGCTACTTTCTTCTATGTATGTTGATCATAAGATTCTTTAAGGTGCTTTCAACATAATTGAAAATAAACTGGTCTCTTTTTTCCCACAATTTTCACTTGCCTTACTTCATTCATGCCTAATGTCATTAGCAGAACCTAGTCATGAGGATTTTGATTTTTGATTTTGATTTTAAAAATTTTCCAGGCTGATCAGCAAATGGAGGAAAATTTACTTGCTGGAAGGGGAATTATGTTTGAACATGTTTTGGAAGCTGTGCCTTACGAGGGAAGTGGAGATAAAATTAAATTACCGCCACCCTGCTTCACGGCATTATCTGAACAAGGTGCTTTTGACAAAGGACCCCTGCACTTCCGGTTATTGGTAATTGATCAAGAGACTACTTCAGATGTCAAGAATGATGATGGACAAAATCATGGGACAACACATGCTGGTGTCCTGGAATTCACTGCAGAGGAAGGTTCAGTTGGGCTTCCACCCCATATATGGAGTAACTTATTCCCTTCTAGTGCTCCAATGACTTCATTGATTGAAGTTCGTTATGTTTGGCTTCCAAAAGGAACTTACGCCAAACTTAAACCAAATGAATTGGGCTTTTCAGACATACCCAATCACAAGGCTGTCCTTGAAACATGCCTTCGCCAGCATGCAACTCTTTCACAAGGTGATGTGCTTGAAGTCAACCATGGCACACTGACCTACCATTTACATGTTCTTGAATTAAAGCCATCTTCGAGTGTATCTGTCCTAGAGACAGATATTGAGGTCGATATTGTGGGTCCGGATTCTGCCTCAGACAGAACAAATCAACATGTCCTTAAACCTCTCACATTTGGGACATCAGAATCTGGAATTGTTGATGAAGGGAACTATATGTATTACAAGTTCTCAATAGATGAAGAAACTTGGGGGAGGATTTCTTCTGGGGATGCCAAAATTGAGGTGAAGCTAGAATCAGATACACTTGATGGAGATACGGATCTTTACATTGCCAGGCATCCTCTTTTATTTCCAACCCGGCACCAGCATGGATGGTCTTCCCATGACGTGGGTTCAAAGGCTTTGATCCTTAGCTCCAAGGACCAGAGCTTGGGAACAGGTACTTACAGCATTGGTGTATATGGTTTCAAGGGAACAACAAAGTACCGGATAACAGTAACCATGCAAGATAACCATGAGCGTAAGGTGGGTCAACAAGCTGTGTCTTCCTCATCATCCATGGAGATGGACACCGTAGAGTGTAGGAATTGCAAGCGTTATATACCTACTAGGACTATAACACTGCATGAGGCATATTGTAGCAGACATAATGTCATCTGTCAGCATGCTGGTTGTGGGATTGTTCTCAGGACTGAGGAGGCCAAAAATCATGTCCACTGTGACAAATGTGGACAAGCTTTTCAACGAGGAGAGATTGAGAAGCACATGAAGGTTTTTCATGAGCCACTTCACTGCCCCTGTGGAGTCGTACTTGAGAAGGAACAGATGGTAAGTGGAATACTCTTGGCAATTTTTTCATTTTGTAATTCATTTGATGTTTTTATGAGGGATGTAGTAACTGCGTGCTGTCTAACTGCTGGCACCAGACTGGGCCAGTCCTGGTCATCAATCAATGAACTGCTTCATTGACACAAATGTCTTTGGAATGGCACATTTTGGTTTCCTACACAAATTACCTTCTTGTCGGAATGAGAAGGGTCTTTATGGACTCATCATCAGTTTTGATTTGTGTGATTTTGCACGATTTTCAATCAAGGGGTAGTATATCTGTGTTGTCTTTCAGGACTGATGAGTAATGACTTGATCTTTAAGTAGTCGGATGATATACAGGATCTAAACCCTAAACCCAAATAACATAGATTTGGCTTTAGTTCCTCTGCTGGAAATTGTAATACTTGACTGGAACAAAGATGTAATTTAGGAGATGAAAACCTCAAACTCAAGGTTGATATTGTAGCATATATTTGTTCGTACGGTTGCCTCATTGTTTTCTCACTCTTTTGGCAGGTGCAACACCAGGCCTCAGATTGCCCATCACGCCTGATTACATGCAGGTTCTGTGGTGATATGGTTCAAGCTGGGACTTCTGCTGCAGATGTACGTGACCGACTAAAAGGGCTTTCAGAGCATGAGAGTGTTTGTGGGTCGAGAACTGCCCCATGTGATTCATGTGGGCGATCTGTCATGCTTAAGGAGATGGACATTCACCAAATTGCTGTTCATCAAAAGAATTAATCTGGAATTTGCTTTTCTGCTTTTGTGTTCCTGGAGCGGGTTTGTTAGCTTGTCTTCAAGGCTCTGGTTCATGTAGATTATTGCCAAAGATGTCAGTGCTGCTGCTATGGCTTTTACAGGGGCGGGGGCACGGGCACGTAGAGCTCAATCTGATTGCATTGTTGCAGTTGTGTTATTTTATGAATTCTTATTAGGGCATGTGGATCTACAAAAGCAATATAGTGAATTACAAGTGGTTTTAGTTTTCTATTGATGTTGTGCATGTTGTCCCAAATCTGGTAATCAAATGAATAGATTTTCTTTTCTCAATCGTAAAGCAATTTTCTTGTCTATTTTTGTTATAATGAACGTGATGGCTTATTTCTAGTTTGTTGGGAAGAGAATAATAGTATGCAATCCATGTGTTCTCTTTCTCTCAATTTTTTCCCCAACTTTTTGCTCTGGAATTTGTTGTAAATCTGACATAGTACCTGCAATCATGCCTTGAGCTTAGTTTTATTATTAAGATTGGTTCTTAGCAAGTTAGTAAATTAGATTATTAGGCGTTCAATTTTTTTTTCATAAACTTGAACTTTGAAATTCTTCTTAAAAAGAAAGTATACAATTTCTTGAACTACTTTCAATTTTTTTTTACTCCTAAAAACTGAAGTAGTTCGTTGAAGAAAAAGATAGTAGAAAAAATGTTTAAAATAGATCTAAATAATTATTTTTTAAGTATTTTATCTATATGTACTTTGGATAATGTAAATTTAGTTACTCCCCCATAACTGTTTTGTTGATTTTATACAATAATGTTAAGATTTAACATTTCTCAAGGAAATAAAAAAAAAATTAATCAATTTAATGTTAAGTGGAATGGTGTGTAATTTTTGTTGGGTTTTGTTATACAAAAGAGTTACTCTTTCGTGTGTTTATAATCATTCTTAATTGTGTGTACTGATTTTTAATTTAAAATTTTAAAAAATAAAAGAAAGAAAGAAACAAAAACTATTCCTTACATTTCCTTAGAATGAAGAGGAATACCTTCAAAAGACTTGCCATTTTAACTTTCAGTAATGATATATACATTATTAGAGTTCTAAATTAAACTCTAATAGAGTGAAAGAGAGAGAGTTAGAGAAAGGAGTATGAATCCCACATTCACATGACACTCTCCACATCATTAAAGATACATTAAAACTCTCAAATTAAAACTCATTGTTAGTTAACTTTTAAGTTTGCATTGTATTTGTACCCAATAAACAAACATTCTAAAGTTGAATTGATTCCTTTTATCCACAACTAAACTAAACCAACCCTTTGTCATTTGCGGCCAAAAAACACAGCAAGCGATAGAGAATCAGTCTCAACTATCTGGCTCCCACTTCTCCCATAAACCCCCCATCTTGCGTTCTCGTCTTCCCCCAACAACAGCATATTTGCAGAGTTTTTAGAGAGAAAAAGTGCAGGGGAGAGAGAGAGAGAGAGAGTGGTACGTACTGGAGAGTACCCTGCTTTTGTTTCTTGAAACCTATTGTAAACAGGGTTAAAAAAACAATACAATAGTTTGGGTTAACCGACGAACCTGACCTCCGATTAAACACAAGTGTTTGAAAATACAATAATGTTAATGAAATTTTTTCATTCTTATTAGTTTATAATGTTTTATTATATATTATGCAACAACCTTTGAATTAGTTTTTCATGATAACTCTTGAAAATGTAGAAAAAAGTAGGTAGAGCCATTACTTCCCTTGAAGTTTAGAGCGATTACTTCCTTGAAGGCAGCTACGAACAATTGCAAAGATAATCATTCCACCAAAAAAAAAAAAAAACAAAGGTTTAAATTTGCAACGATGACAACTAGACTGCATCAACAACAAAAAAATTCACGTAACAGAGAGAGGGGATTTTGCTATATCGTCTCGTCGAGAGTTGAAATCAGTCAGTGATCTATTGATCTGTATCAGATTCGATTCATGGACGAGGTGATTACAGCAGCCAATGCGCCGTCGTCGTCGTCGCCGCCGTCGTCTCCAGCAGCACTCCACCAAATTACCTCCCTTTGCTCTCTGCATTCCTTGCTTTTGCTATCGCGGAATTCCTCAAGGTCTTCACGACTTGGTCCGTACTCTCTCTCTCTCCCTCTCTCAATTGTGTTTAGGGTTATGAACTTTTGTTACTTGAAGAATTATTTTGTGAAACTGGAATTATAGCAAAATGATATGGTCGATTTGAATTTATTCTGGGATGAGTTGTTTGTTTCACCTGAAGAAACAATAAGGAAATTGGAGACATAGCACAAAGTGTTCACAATAATTTCTGTACTCTGTCGGTTGTGTATGTAGGGTGTTGATTGTTTTGAATTTTTAAATGCATTTTAGGTGCTGTCTATGGCAATTCCTCTGTAAATTCTCATTAGATCCTCCACAACTGGTCGAACAAACCAGCACTTCAGAATATACAACACATATCCAACACACTGGACAGGGCCATGAATGTTCCTTCTACCCACCCAATGAATCCATGGAAAGGTTTAGTAGATGCTATGGGGCAATAATTAATATATACAATGGAAATATGGGCAATATCCTTTTTGGATCGAGTAAACTCCCATCAACCAATGATCGCACGACAGGTTGAAGAAAACATGAATTCCCTTCAATATAGATTGGCTCGAGATTAGGGATGGCAATGGATAACCTATCCTATGGGTATCCATGGAGACCCAACCCATATGTATGGATTTTCCCCTTTTTTCTTATCCGTTGGGTAGGGTAAGTGATATTCTTTAAATATCCACAGGGGATGGGGAGGGGATGGGTACCCACTAATTTCCCCATATGTTTTTTTTTTTTTTTTTTTTTTTTTTTTTTTTTTTTTTAGGTTCACAACCAAGGTTTACAACCATTTTATTATTATTATTTAAGATTCACAACCAAAGCTAAATATGTATTTAATCTTATTTTATTTTATTTTATTTAGATGAACAACAAAATCAAATACACATTAACTAACATTGTCATATTGTTCTTGTCAAATTTTATGTATATCTAAATTTTTTAAAATCTATTTAGAAAAATTCTATTCCTATAAAAAATTTGATTCGAATCCTAAATCGAAATGGTCTCGAATCGAATCAAATTATGAATCATAAAAATTTGATTCGATCACTTTTTAGCATTAATCAAAAGATGCAAAGGCAGTAAAGACGATAATTTTTTTCTTTTAAATACAAGACCCATCATGCAATTCACTAGTATATGCATCATTGCCAAGCACGGTTTTATGAAGTTAGGTAAGAACAAAAGCAGAGAAACAGTGTGACTGTTATCCATTGGTTGTGAATCTTTTTTTTAAAAAAAAATGGTTGTGAATCTTAAAAAAAATAAAAATAAAAGATAAAAAGAGATTGAATGTATATTTAGTTTTAGTTATGAATCTTTAAATAAAAATAAAAATAAATTGTGAACCTTAAAAAAAAAATTAAAAAAAAAAGAAAAAGATTGAATGTTTATTTAGCTTTGGTTGTGAATCTAAAAAAAAAAAAAAAATGGTCAAGTTGGGTTGGGAAATATCCAAACCTATTAGGAGATGGGGAGGGTGGTTGGAGAATATCCAAACCCATTAGGAGATGGGTAGGGTAGTACCCATGGAAAATGGGGAATGGGGAATGGAGAAAAATAATTATAGGGGAATGGGGATGGAGAATTAATATCCACCCCATTAACCTCCATTGCCATCCCTACTCGAGATAAACAGCCTATGCAAAATAATAGACAAACTAATGGTCAGACTAGCAATCAGAGTCATGAGAGGTCATCACCTGTGCCTCAGTCATGGTACGAAGCTCCTTCGAGACCACTAGCAAACCAAACTGTACCATTGCCCCCCTGCGAAACCATACAAATTGGTGGATCTGAGCCAGCATAAGGGAATGGTATGAGGATGTTTCCAAATTCTATGTTTGAAGCCATACCTGGCACAGGGGGTTACACTAATCTTGTGTTTGAATTTACACCCAGAGGGTTGGAAGGATTTTCTGCAATTGGGAGAGAAACAACACCTATTCCTCCTCCCGTAGCACCTGTCGTAGGACTTATCCCAGGATAGATTCCAAGAGGTCAGCCATACCTCCAACAGTAACCAGTACAACAAGGACAACCGGTCTTGAATGTACCTATATATGGACCAAGAGGCCCTTAGGCACATGGTGTTCCTCCAAACCCTGTGTTTGTCCTTCTAGTAGTTGTTCAACTAGTACAAAATATGGTTCCAAGGAACCAAATTACTGATATAGTTGGAGAAATGTGTAGACCTATGGCTCTGGGGGTCCAGACACCAGCGTATAGAAAACCTTACCTAGAGTGGGTGGATACGGTACATGAATATCTTGAGGGGTTTAGAATACCAGACTTTGCCCTCTTTTATGGTAATAGAAATTAGTCAACAATGGAATACATTGCTAGGTTTATAAGCCAGTGTAGTGAGTTTGCTAATAATGATTACATCAAACTGAGACTTTTTCCAAATTCTTTAAGTGGAGCAGCCTTCGTATGGTACATAAATCTTTACACTTCGCTTTATCCAAACTTGGCAGCAAATGGAGGAAGTTTTTCATGCCCAATTTTTCCAAACAGAACTTGAAGTTTCCATGGCAGACTTGGCAAGATTGAACCAAAGGCTTGACGAGAAGGCTACTCAATTTATTACCAGATTTAAAAGGGCACGAAACAAATGTAGGGTCATGTTACCAGAGCCTGAATTTGTAAGATTGGCTCAAAATGGTTTGGACTTTAGGCTTCGAAAGAAGTTTAACTCAATTGAGTTTTTGAGACTTAGTAGAGTTAACATATAAGGTGCCTAGATATAAAACTTTACTTGAGAAATAACAAAATCGAAGTAATGCATCATATAAGACCTACTATAGGGACCCTAATTATGAAATTGATGCAGCAGAGATAGTAGGAAAAGAACATATGACTTGTAAGGCATTAATTCAGAAAGACAGGACAATAGACCAGCAGTTTAAAAAGAAAGACCTGCATATGAAGTATTCTTTTGACTTAATAAAAGCAGATGGCATTTTTTATTATTTGCTTGCAGCAAATTTCCTAAAGTTACCAAAGGGAGTCAAGATTCTTACCCTTAAAGAACTTAAAGGAAAACTGTATTATAAATGACACAATTCTTGGTCTCATTTAACTAAAAACTGTATTATTTTTCAAGACAGGATCCAAGAACAGATTTGGAAAGGGAGGCTAAAGTTTCCAGACAAGTCTGAGAAAGCTATGGGAATTGACACCAATCCGTTTCTAGAGATTAGGGAGACTGCAGCCAATGTTGGCATGTTAGATTTCCAAAACCTATCCTTGAAAGAATTGGAGGAAGTTA